CGCCGCCCCCAACGCCGCCGGCACCGCCCTGCCCGGCCCGCCCTTCCCCGGCCCCGCGGCCGCCGCTTTCCCCGGCCCCCAGCTCTGCCCCCCCGCCCTGCAGCCGGGCTCCGGTGGCCTCTCCGGGCTGGGCAGCAGCGGCAGCTCCAGCGGCGCCGCCAGCGAGGGTGGACACTCCAGCGACAGCGGCGACGAGGTGAGACCCGACGAGACGGGCTGCTCTGCCCCGCTGCCCTCCGCCCTCGGGGGTACCGCGGTCCTCTCCGTGCGCCGGCGCCGTGCAGAGGCAACGGACGAAGCCTGGGCTCGCTGCCGGCCGCCCCGTCGGGGTAAGGAGCTTCCTGGCCACTCCCGGGCTTCGCCGGCCCGGCCCGGGCAGGGGCAAGCAGGGACCCACCGGCGCCTACCTGCCTGTCCCCTCCGCCCGGTGCCCCCGGGAGAAGCCTTCAGTCGTGCCAATGTGTCCCAGCACCGGGGCTCGGCCCGGTTGGGTCTAGGGAGCACCTCGGGGAGGCTGCTTTGGGGTGAGAAAGGTGGTTTGGGGGACTGAAGAGAGCAGTTTTCAGTTGTGCTGACCGGCCCCCTCAGGCGATGCCGCATGGCCGTCGTCCCTCCACGCTGCCGGAGCGGGGCTCGGGGGGTGCCGGGGGGGTGCAGCGCGGCTCCTGGCAGCCCCCCCCACCCTCGGCCGTGCGGGGGCGGCGGCCGCTGCCCCGATCAGGGCTCCGCGGACCCCGACGGCTGCCGGGGCGCGGGCAGAGCCAGCCCGGGGCCTCGGCGGGGGGAGCCTCGGGTAGTTAGCAGCATGACTGCTAGCTGTATTTTGGGTTAGTTTTTAATATTTTTAAATACAGCCATAACATCATCCCTTCCCTCCCAGGCAAGCACGCCTCGGGGGGAGCGGCAGCAGATTGTTGCAGGGTTCTTGAGCGCGTTGGGTGGGTTTGCGGGGAGCTGTGCGGGGTCCGTGCCGCGGGGATTCGGGAAGTCCCCCGCACGAGGGGAGCGTGGGGGTGCGGGTCCCCCGGCTGGCAGCCTGCCGCGCTGGGTGCGGGTTAGGAGGAACGATTTTTCGCAGCTGAGGAGGGGTGAGTGTTCCCCGTGGCAGGGATGCTCCGGGATTTTTGCTGCCAGTATACGCCAGGAATTAAAAGCCGAGACTTGGTGGCAGGAGGGACGTCTGTAAAATATGAAATTACGCTGCAAATGTGGGAATCGGGTAAAAGTTTACAAAATATCCCCGCAGCAGTTGATGGCTGCACTTCAGGGAGGAAGGGAAGCCCCTGAGTAAGCAGCTTTCCAGAAGGGAGGTGGTTTTTTTTTCGTCGTGGCAAAGAAGTTGCGAATTACACTCGAGTCACGGTTAGTTCGTTCATCTGAGCCATTTCACCCACCCCGGGAGCAAGCGGGAGAGGGGCAGCTGAGGGGCTGCCCCGTGCCCCAGAGCCGTGGGGAGGTGAGCGCCCACCCCCTGGGATAGCGGGGCCCGTGGGGATGTGTCGTGGGATGCGCGGGAGTGGGGTGATGCTGGGATCGTCAGCAAATGGGTCCATCAGTGCTGCCGCTGGTCAGGCCACGAGGGGCTGAGCCTGGGGGTAGAAGGGACATTCCCAGGGCACGTTGGGGCAGATCAGGAGCTCAGGGTGCTCCCGGGACCTGCTTTCTGTCCCCGGGTGCTTGTGCCACCCTGGGCCTCTGCCACTCCAGCGTGGTGTGAGCTGGGCAGTGTGCTGTGGTCGGGGGTGTGTCCAGGGGGTCCTGCGTGGGGCAGGATGGGGTGAAGGCACTTTAGGATCCCTGAGGAGAGGTCCTTGTTCAGGGATTCGGGAAAACTCTTCTGGCACCTACCCCATCACTCCATGGGCCACATCGCCCAGAGGCGGTGGTGGCTGGTGGGTGTCGGTGCTGCCACAGGCTCAGCTGAGTCCTCTCTGTCCCCATCCCACGCTGACCGCGACACACCGACAGACCCTGCTCTTGGCAGCCCCGGGGTGTGAGTTGTCCCCTCTCAGTTTGTCTCTGCCCCTGCCAGGATGCACCAACCTCGGAAGAGCTGGAGCAGTTCGCCAAGGACCTCAAGCACAAGCGCATCATGCTGGGCTTCACCCAGGCTGACGTGGGGCTGGCTCTGGGCACCCTCTATGGTAAGGGTCCAGTGAGGTTCCTCATCTTCCTCTCCCCTCCATGCCCGGGGGGAGGGGAGAGGCCTGGGAGGGGGTTGGAGCACCTGGGCAATGGGAATTTTTGCTCCTTAACGACCTGCAAAGGAGGCGGCGAGCACCAGCCCCAGGGCTTCCCAGCCCTGTTAAGTACAGGCTCAGGCTGGAAGGGTTTGATAACAAGAAAATGGTTTAAAATACCTACAGCTTCTTACTGAAGAGTGTTTCAGTGCTTGAACAACTCCCCGCTGAAGCAATAGGGAGAATGCGTTTTGTGGTCCCCCATCCTCAGGGACAGGGGATGGCTGGAGGGGGGAGCCTGGGGAGCTGGTGGTGGGGGACATCTCCTGGTGCAGGGGCAGGAGCATGACGTTACGTGACACCCTGGCTGCCTGCACAGGGAAGATGTTCAGCCAGACGACCATCTGCCGCTTTGAAGCGCTCCAGCTCAGCTTCAAGAACATGTGCAAGCTGAAACCACTGCTGCAGCGTTGGCTCAACGAGGCAGAGAACACGGACAACATGCAAGAGGTACGGGGTGGGGAGGGACAGCGTGCAGGGTTACTGCACGCCAGTGAGCTACAGCTTCTCCCTTTTACATGTGCTTTTTGGGAGAGAAGAGGGGAGCAGAGGGCATCCCATGCCATAGGAGCATCTCGCTGCCGTGGCTTCAGTCTGGTTGTGGGGGGAGCCACTGCGTATCACTTTCTGCCATGCTGGGAGGAGCCCAATCCCCCCACAGTCACCTTGGCACAACTGTGGCAGCTCCCGTCTCAGAGCAGCCAGGTCCTGCTTGAGTCTTGGATGAGCAGGAGGTGCAGTTTGCCTGTAGGGATGCAGGAAGACGTGTCCAACCCCCTCGCACCAGCTACGGGCAGTGCTGGGGCACTAGGAGTTGCAGTAGGGTGACACTCAGTGGACAGTCATGGGGACAAAGCCTGTCCCCATCCCTCCCACACCTCTGTAGCCCACTGCACGTGTATCCAGAGCCTGGTGGGGTGGGGATGTTGCCAGCCCTGTGACCAAGTGTATGGCTTCTCTCTCTCATTTCCAGATGTGCAATGCGGAGCAAGTGTTGGCCCAAGCCCGGAAGAGAAAGCGCAGGACCAGCATTGAGACCAATGTGAAGGGGACTCTGGAGAGCTTCTTCCGCAAGTGCGTGAAGCCCAGTCCCCAGGAGATCTCCCAGATCGCCGAGGACCTCAACCTGGACAAAGACGTAGGTTGGGAGGGTTTGCAGGGTGAGTGCCCAAACTGCTGCAGTTTGTGAGCACTCACATCAGGCCAGTTGATACTGGAAGCTGCGGGAGAGCAGCCAGGGCTGGTGGCCACCATTGGCCTGTCCGAGCCCAGCCCCAGGAGGAGCTGTGGCAAAGAGGCTGCTGTGCTGGCTGGTCGGGGTGCAGTGGAGATGCCACCAGCCAGAAGGTGTCACCCACACATCACCTGGTCTTGCCCCCTCACCCTTCCCTGTTTCCCCTCCCTCGCAGGTGGTCCGGGTCTGGTTCTGCAACCGGCGTCAGAAAGGCAAACGGCTGCTGCTGCCCTTTGGCAATGAGGCGGAGGGAGTGATGTACGACATGAACCAATCCCTGGTACCCCCTGGCCTGCCCATCCCGGTGACATCCCAGGGCTACAGCCTGGCACCCTCCCCACCCGTCTACATGCCACCTTTCCACAAAGCCGAAATGTTCCCTCAAGCTCTGCAGCCTGGGCTCTCCATGAGCAACAGCAACCACTGAACCGGGGGCTGCGGGGGCTGACAGTGGGGCTGGGCTGGTTCTCTGGGGGCAGCTTCGCCCTGAGAAGGCACGGGCACAGCCCCGCTCTTGCCCTCAGCACTGCCTGGGCACTCGCTGGGCTACCTCAGGGCTTTTGGGGTGCGAGGGGCAGGGGAAGGGCTGGGAGCCTGGCATGGAGATGGTGCCCGCTCTCTGTGCTTGCTCCCGGCCTTTCCAAATTAACGTGAGTCTACGGGTCCCAGCAGTGTTGGCCCCTCTCACCTCTCCTGGGGGACAGCTGCTCCTGCACCACTGCACCCCATTGAAGTTGTGTGTGCCCAGGGCACTCAGTGGAGCCGTCTGCCCCAGCCCAGCCGAGCTGCTCTCCCGCAAGGCCCAGGAAAAAGTTTTTTTTAGATTTTTTTGAGGGGGGGAGGGGGGTGGTTTTATTATTTTTTTTTGAATGGCTTTTGGTTGTAGTTTTTAAAAAGTAAAAATCTTTGTAGTGATGACTAGTTTCCCAGGTGCCCTTTCCCTGTCAGGTAGAGCAGGGCTGGGGTGCTGTGCCCAGGGCCAGTGTCCCCGGCGGCTCTGCCCACCCTCCTGGGAGCCAAGGGCTGGAGTTTGGGGCTGGAGCTGAGCCCTCGCAGCCCCAGCTCCCCGTGGCACAGGAGGGGCTTCACCTGCCCGTGGGCAGGCTGGCAGGGCTTGTTTTGGGGGGAGGTGGGGGTCCTCCCCAGCCCTTGTGCCCAGCGTCACTCTGGGCCCCTCGTGCCCTCTCTGCTCTCCAGCCGTTGTCCCTCTGCCCCAGCCCGGCTGCCCAGGGACTGTCTTTCCCCAGGTTTCCCAGCCCAGGGGGGCCAACACCATCCTGTCCATGCTGCTAGCACCCCTGTGCCTCTGAGCCTGCTGTAGTTGATGATGTTTATTTTTTTTTTTTTCTTGATCACATTCCCTCTGGCAATTTAATAAATTCTTTGGGGCATGAGAGCGAGTTAACCCTTTCCTTGCCTGCCTCGCATCCCTGCTCCTGCACAGCACCATGCAGCCCAGTGGGGAGGGTTTGGCTGCATGTGGGGCACAGTGGGGCTGGATCAGTGCACCCAAATAAGACTGACCTGTCCCCAACATGCCACTAACTCCTGGCTGCTTGAAGCCCAGCTCACTACCAGGAATGGTGGCAGCTTGGTCCTGGAGGGACACGGGCTTGTCAAGGCTGTCCCCCTACAGAGCAGAGGTGGTCAGGGGTGGGGAGGAGCTGGTTTTTCCATAGCTGCTGTTGGGAAGGGTAGAAGCCTAGTGGGATCTCACTTGCAGGCTGCTCCAGCCCCGGGGTGGGCAGTGGAGACAGTTTGGGACAAAAAGCCTGGGCTGTCCTTGCCTTGGGAATGCCCGTGTGGCACAGGTGGGCGAGGGATGCTACTGTGTGCGTGCTCCACCTGGGGCAGCCTCATGCTGGCCATGCTGCTGGTGCCAGCCCAATGTCTGGGGGATGACACCTTGCTCTCCACACCATCACCTCTGCAGCCTGGTTTGCCACACCGGCCTGCAATCCCCAAGGGGTTTTTTTCCCCTTTTTCAGCTCAGCTTCCAGTAAAGGATGGGTTTGCTCTCAGGCTGGCCTGCAGTCTGGCTTCCGCAGGCCAGGCAGGAGCAAGGTGACTGCCGGCTGCTGCTCGCAGGGCACTCTGGACCCTGCTGGCTGGTGCCAGCCCCTTGGCTCACCAGTGTCTGGGTGACTAGGGCCACGTCCCTGCCTGCCCACAGGGTGGGGGCATGGCCAGGCACGGCACCCGCTGGAAACTGCCCCCCCTTGGCCGCCTGGCACTTTAGGGGTGGGTGGGCTGGGGGTGCTGGAGGCTAGCCATGGGCAGGGGCAGTAGCAGAAACCCTGGGAAGAGTGTCACCTCCTTGAGGTTTGCTGCGCATTTCCACTGTCTGATTTTCTGCTCGAGCAAAAGACCAGCCAGGAAGGAGTCCCAGGACTCCCAAACCCCCTCCCCAGGATCCCTGCCTGTGGGCACTCGGGGCCCCTCCTGCTCTGTTTTCAGTTGACCCAGAAAACAATATGGGACGGAAATCGGAAGCCACATAAAAGAGAAGTGTGCAGCGTGCCTGTCAAACTGCCATCCAGCCAGGGCTGGGCTGGGCATGCAGTGAAGTGCCAGCCTGGGGAAGCAATGTCCCCTCTGCTAAGGGGATGTCACCACCTGCCTTTGCCCCACCATGCCCTGGGTACAGGGACCAGATCCTGGAGGGCAGCAGGCAGCTTGTGGGGTGGCAAGGGTGAGTTGGGCAACTTTGGGGCTGCAGTGAGGGAAACTGGGCCAAAGCCAGGACAAAATGAGTCATTTCTATCAGGGCTTGATGGCACCAAGCCAAGGGGCCCAGAAGAAGGCACGGATGGAGCAGTCATGTCCCACACCCCAGTTCTACCATCTAACTCCGACATCTGCCACTGATCTCAGCACCTGCAGGGCACGTCTGCTGCAGGGTGCTCACGGTGCAGGGGTGTCTGTGCAAGGTTCCCAAGGTGCGGGGTGTGTTCATGGTGCAGGGTGCCCACAGCGCAGCGTGTGCGTGGCACAGGGTCCAGCACTGCAGTGTGCTGGCAGTGCGGGTGCCCATGGGGTGCAGGGCGTGCAGGGGCTTGGCAGTGCCAAAGGCACACAGAGCAGGCTGCTGGTGCCACAGTGTGCCCACAGGGCCGGCTTTGCTCTGGGCTTGCAACGAGGCTCCGGGCGAGACTCCAGATGCCAGCAGTTCACTGGCTTCCTGCTGTAGCAGGGCGGGCGTGCCGGCAGGGCAGCGAGAAACCACAGCATCCCTCCGCTGCGGCCCGGCACTGAGCGGGCTGAGATTGCTCTCAAGAGCATCTGGTGTCCTGCCAGTTGTGACTGGGGGGTGAGTCAGGGAAATGGGTGCTACCAGGCTGTGATGGGAATTGGTGGAGCAGAAGCTGTGCTCTCCATCCCTGCTGCGGGGTGCTGCCCCCCCACCCCCAGCTGCCCTGAGCTCATCTCCTCCACCCCAGACAGAAACGTCACCTTGCTGCCCCTGCCACCAGGGCTTTGCCACTCAGCAGAAGGTGGTGATAGGGAACAGAGTGATCGCAGGAGAAGTTTGGGGAGCCCTGAGCCCCCCAGCAGTCCCCTGCCCAGTCCCTGTGGCACAGGCAGAGCCTCTGCAGCACTGGCATTTATTTCCAAAGCATCCTTTTGTTCTGCCAGCAGCCTGGTGAGGTATGTCAGTGTTGGGTCTGGGGGCGGTGGCGAGGTTTAGTCCCATTTTGCAAGAGCTGCTCAAGCTCCCAGTGTGGCAACAGCTGAGCTGGGAGAAGTCGGGGCTCCCACATCCCTCCCTGCCCCACAGCCTCATCTGTAAGAGGGTGACCCACGCTCCCCTCCACCCCAGCATCCTCTACCCAGATGCGTCCCCGATGATCCCAGCACAACCAGCCCCATGCTAGGTGTTGAACCAGCTCTCCAGGTCGGGATAAACATGGCCACGGGGCAGGCTGGGGTAGGCAGTGCAGATGGTGCAGATCCGCTCTCTCCAGTCAGCATAGAGCTTCACGCTGTACCTCTTCTGCCAGGAGAAGAACTGCCGGTAGCGGCTGGAATTCATAGTCTTGAGGAAAGTGGCCAGCTCTGCCAGGGAACCAAAGTCATCAACGTGAATGAAGGAGTCTGCAGGAACGAACTGCTCGTAGTTGGCCCGGGGAGGTCCCAGCACCACGGGCACAGTGCCAGCCAACAGCGAGTTCCTCCAGAGCTTCTCGGTGATGTAGTCCTGGTGGATGGAGTTCTCAAAGGCCAGGTAGAACTTGGACTTGGATGTCGTTGGCAAGAGGCAGTCCTTGCAAAGAGGCTTTTTGTTTGCTTTCCCATATATGTTCACATGGAGGTATCTGGAGAGGTTTTTGTAGACTTCAGCTCTTTTCTGAGTCCTGTGGTAGTTGCTGATAACCCAGGACACCAAGTTGGTCTTTGTGGGGATGTTCACAGTGGCTGACTGGTTTGGTACAAGCTTGCCGTAGGGAATGAAGATGTCTGAGTCCCTTCTGTAGGTCATCACCCAGTTGAAGGTCTGGTTCCATCCCGCTAGAGCTTTAGTGTTGGAGGGGGACTCCAGGGAGACCCACACCCAGTTCTGCCCCGGCGGCCTCTCCTTGGGCAGCGTGTCCCTGCCAGGCTGGAGTCTGGTATGGGGGAACACCACCACATTTGCCTGGCCCAGAAGCTGTCGCTCCATGGTGAGCTGGCAGCCCACGATGCCGTACAGCTCACGGCAAACATCCCCGCTGATGTTGGGGACCTGCTTCGAGGGCCATTTCCACACGAGGACCATCAGCGGCTCAGTGTGCTTGGAGGCTTCACCAGAGACCTCGGAGGGGTTGAGGAAGTACCGTAGGTTCCAGAGGGTTGTTACAAACACCCCGGCGGTGACCACTGCCTTCATGATGGGCCTGCCCCACAGCAGCCGTGGCAGCTGCAGTGCTCGGGGCATGCTGCCAGGCTGGCTGTCACCTCCAGTTGGTGCCTGGGAGGAGAGGCCACCAAGGGCCATTAGCTCAGCTTGCTAGGGTCAAGGGGTGGTGGAGAGGCACTGGGGCTGGTGGGGGTGGAGAAAGGGCTTCTCCACAAAACATGAGCCCGAGTGTCACCCCTGGCCCCTATGTTAGTCCCCACCTCCTCCCAGGGCCCCCCATGCACCTGGCATCACCCCATGGTGGCTGTGTGTCACCCTCCTGTGGTCCCTGATGTCTCCATCTCTGGAACAGGCAGGGACGCTGTTGAAGGGGGACACAGAGCCAATGGGCAGCAGCCACCCATCCCCCCCGCCCCAACTGCCTGGCACCACTCCCCATTACATGCACGAGGGATGTGTTCCTTGGTATTTGCTCTGTGCCTCAGTTTCCCCACTTGACAAACAGCCACAGTCCCACTCCACCCCTCTTGCTTTGCCCAGGGCAGGTCAAGTGTGAAATGCAGCCAACCTTGAGACAACCAGGCTCTGAAGAAAGGTGCCTGGGGGTCTGTAGGATGGGGCCACACATCAAAGGGCATGTGGGAACACCCCAAGTCCTGCCTGAGTAGCCCCACAGCAAGGCTCCAGCTGCAAAACAGGGTGTCCCTGGGAGTGACTGGGGAGTCTGAAACCCTGCTCAGGGACAGACTGGAGTGTCCTGCCAGAGAAGTGCCCCCTCACTCCAGCACCCTGCTATGGTGATGTCAGGGCTCTCCCCAGGCTCCAGGGGCTCTCCTCAGCCACCAAGGGCATGGGGAGCCCCAGCAGGCTGGGAGCTTGCAGCCTCAATGCCCCAAACACATTTTATTTTTGGGGTGTCACAGCTGGCCAGTGCCCCACAAGCAGGGCAGGAAGAGCACTGCAGGCAGGGAGCCGTTTGGGGCTGCCATCAGTGAGGCATAGGTGGGAACCCCAACCATGAGATGCTCACCATGCCACGGTGCCCATCTGCACCGTGGCCTCTGCCCCGTGGCCTTCAGCCTCTGTCGGCGGTGCTGCACTTTAACCAGCTGATGGGAACAGAGAGCAGTGGCGGGGGTGACGAGGGGGACACTTGGCTGGGCTGGGGACTGGTCACCAGTTTGAGCCCACTCAGGAAATGCCACCCCACATGCAGGGCTCAGCACCCACGGGGCTGCCCACGGCATTCAGCACCAAAGGCAGTTTCCCTTTTGACATAATCTCCGAAAACTTGTTGGCTGCCTGAGTCCCACTGCCAGCCAGGGCTGTGCTGGTTCCTCCATGACTTTAGAGTCCCCTGGATAGCAATACCCTGCTTTCCCACCCCAGACACTGCAGCTTTGCTGCAAAAAATCCCTTCCCTGCCTTGACCTGCTCCGTCTGTCCTGCTAAAAGACACAAGCTAAGTTTAAGTTCCAGAAAAAGCTGACATCTGATGCAGGGAGGGCTGGGAAAGCTTTGCCAGCTCCCTGCATGGCACACAGGTCGGTATTTGGGGTCTCTCTGCCTGCTGGCCCCCTGCAGCGGGGATGTTCCCCCCATTTTGAGGGTGCTCTGGGACGGGATACCCTGCTCTGGCAGTGCCAGGAGCCAACCCATTTCTCAGCCGCTCTCCCTGTGGTGGGCAGCGGTGCTGAGCTGAGACTTACCGGGGAAGGGCCGTTGCGGTGGCTTGCGAGGTGCCTGTGTGCGTCTGCCTGGGCAGCTGCCTGTGCTGGGCTGGGCCACTCGAGGGCTTCCTCTTTTCTGTGGTTTTGCCTCATCCTGGCCCCACAGTGGGTCCTTCCTGCTGTGCGTCGCAGCTGGCACAGCCCACTCCCAGCACTTCCCCTGTGCCACGTGGGCAGACATGACCCACGGCTGGGTGCGTGCCCTGGGTGCATGCCCACGGCTGGGTGGGTGGCCCACGCCAGGGTGGGATGCTGTTACCCAGTGCATGCCCCATGGCAGCGCCTGCCCCACAGCAGCGCCCTGGCACCTCCAGGAAAGGCTCCCAGTGCAGGTGCTGCTCATAGCTCTGTACCTGCACATCCCCATCTGCTCCCACTGCCAGCCTCCAGCTGGGCCACAGCCCCTTGGGGGAGGTGTATGTGGGTCCATGTGGGATTTCAGTTCCCCAAAGGGGTTTCCCAGGTGCCAGGTTTGAAATGGAGCCCAAATCCTGGCTCCTTTCTGCCAAGTGCCTCTCCCGTCCCAGCTGCCAGCCAGAGCACTGATACCCTGGCCGGGCTGCAGTTTTCCAAGGTGCCTGTCTCCGGTTTGCCTGCTGGAGCCATGGCCATGCAGGGGATAAAGCTGATCAGTGGGGCTGTGCTGAGCCCATGGGGCAGCTCTGCTGGCTGGCAGCTTTGTGCCAAGGAACACCCCACAAACACTCTTTTGCTGAGACCACTAATACATTATTATTATTACTATTATTATTATTATTGAAAGCAGGGTTGTTGGGTCCAGCTGCACATCCCTGGCACATGCAGCTCCCTCTGAAATCACCCAGGAGCAGCCAAACAGTGAGATGCTCATTTGGTTCGGACTGGAACCAGGCATTTCCTCAGCTTTTGCTGCCACCCACAGCAGAGCTGGTGGGGATGGAGGGGGGCATCAGCTCCAGAGCCTCAGCCTGGCACTGCAACCCAGGTTGGTGAGTGATTCCCTCTTGGCAGGGGCTGGGAAGGCCCTCGTGCCTTACCATGGGTGCATGTGCCAGGGGTTCAATGCCCTGCCTGCGCTGGGATGGGTTGCAGGCAGGGTCCTGCTCTCAGCCTCGCCAAGGTGCCTCCTGTCTGCCACCCGCAGCCCGGTTGAAAACAGGATGCCAGCCTGACTTTGGCTCCCACTGACTCATCTTGCAACTGTCAGCTAAAGCAATACTGACAACACAGAGGAGCTGCCAAGCCACGGGCACCTGCCCTGGTTGGGATGCTTTTTGCCAAAAGGGGAAGCAGGCACATGTGCCCTGGTGGCATCTGCATGGGGAGCTGCCTCCTGTGCCTGGGCTGTGGACCTGACCTTGTTCCACTCTGGCCACATGTCCGGTTGCCTCCCTTGCTGGCATTGCTGTCTGGGCATCAAGTGTCCCCCAAAGCCCTGGCAGGGGAAGAGAGATGGGGAAACTGAGGCAGCAGCAGGGAAGGGAGTCCCGCAGCATGCAGCGCTGTCTCTGGAGACGGCAGGAGCACACACAGAGCTGGGAGCGGGACCCCAAACTGCTCCCTGGGGGTCCCTTGGGCTGCTCAAGTGCCCCTGGGGTCTGCACCCCACCCCCCTGCACCCTTGCTCCCACTGGCTGCCCAGATTCTGGGAGCAAGGGTGGCCGCAGCGCTGGTGGCAAGGCGAGGGGTCGGGCAGCAGCTGGGCACAGCACGTGCCACCACTGGGGTGTAGCAGGGCTCTGTGGTTTCAGTGCCGCCCTGGGAGCCCTCGGAGGCCAACTGCAGCTCTGGGGCTGGGTTGTTTTTCCTCCCAGCCATGTCCCCTGTTTCCTGTTATCTTCTCTCACCCCCTTTTCTGCATTTCTTCCCCTCTGTGATTGAGAGCCCAGATACTGGGCGCTGGTCAGCCCACAGGGCACCGCTCCCAGCCTGCCCTGCCCAACCCCACCGGCCACAGGCAGCGTTCCCTGCCCAGCAGGAGCTGCCAGCGTTGTTTCTGCTGCTGTCCCTGTCCCCCCCTGCAAGCCTTGGTGACCAGGGCCACACAGGAAGGAACCATTCCCCTCCGCAGAGGACAGCACTGGGGACAGCAGTGACCACAAGGTTTCCACAGGGGACGCAGGATGGATAGTGAAGAATGAGGGAGCTTTTTCCTGGCACTTGTTGCTGTCATGCCCAGATGCTGCTCCAGGATGCCCCGGCAGCAGGGACAATGCTTGGGGAGTACTTGAAGCTGGTGGGTCCAGGCACCCTGACCTCGGTGGCCCAGGGAGGTCACAGCGCAGTGCCAGAGGCTCAAAGCCAGGCTGGGACCCAGTGCCAGCTCTGCCCAGGTGTGCTGAGCAGGAGTCCCCAGCACCTGAGGCCAGGCAATGGGACCATCCGATAACACCAGATGGCACCAGCACAGGGCAGGGACCTTTGTGTGTGTGGGTACTGCCATCTGCAGATGACCCCACACAGACGCTTGACTATCCCGTAAGGGAGTCCCCTGAGAGGTGCTCAGCCCCCCAGGTCCATGGAGGAGATGGGCTACCAGGTCCTCGGGGCTGTGCTGCCCCATGACATGCTGCTGGGTCTGTCTCTTGCTGGTCCCGCGGGGTTTCGTGATCATGCCAAGCAGAAGAGGAGCTGCAAAGCTGCTCAAGACCCACCCAGGGGCAGCAGGAGGGAGGGAGGCAGAACACCTAGGTTTTGAGCTCACGTTGCCCATGTCCCCAGCCATGACCTCTCCTCTGCACCCCTCTGTGCTGGGGCCCCACTCTGCTGCAGGACAGGGGGTTGGAGGTGTTTCTAGTGTGGGCTGGAGACAACCCACACGCAATCCCCTGGGAGGAACCAAGGGTGCATGCATCCGTCCTTCCCCAGGGACCAACTAAAAGCCACCACTGGAGCCAGGTCTGGGGTTGGCTGAACCCCCATGGCCCGGCTTACCATGACACCAGATCTCTCCAGTATTTTGAAAGCCAGAGAAACACCAGCAAACCTTGGGGTCATCCCAGCGCAGCTGCCCCTGTATTACTTGTGCCAGTAGGGGACAGGTGGAAAGGGGCTGAGCCAGCCCTGGACGCCCCCTGCCCAGTTCTCTGGCTGTCAGGTAGTCCTGCCACCTGCACACCCCGCAGCCCTTCCCAAAAAGCTGCCCGCCCTGGAGCACGGAGCCAGGGCCATGCTGTGCCTCTCCACCACCGCGTCCCACGGGCATCCCTTGTCCTCCCTCACCTCAGCACAATGTTTCACCCAGAAGTTTTTTGAATAATGGCACTTTGTGGCAGGACAAGGAGAGCTTTTGTTAGTGCCCAGGCAGCTGTTGCAGAGCCTGCCCAAAATGCAGTCACCCTTAGCAACACCACTTTGGGCTGGGGCAGCCAAAGGAGTTATTCACAGCACCCGGCTGCACTTGGCGCTGAAGCAGCCTGGAGACAGAGATGGTTAAAGATACTGCAGGAGAGGAGAGGGTGCGTAGGAACAGGAGCTACGGGCAGCCAGGAGGGAGGAGGGACAGGTTGAGAAATGAAGAGAACAAGAGGAATGGAAAAAGGGAGGAAAGGAGGGAGGGATGCATGGATGGGAGGATGAAAGCAAGGATGAAGGAAGGATGGCTGGATGGAAAGAAGTAAGGAAGGATGGCAAGATGGAAACTGCATCCAGATCTGGGGACCCCAACAAAAGGACATGGGCCTTTTGGAACGGGTCCAGAAGCAGCCAGGAACATGCTGGGAGGGCTGGAGCCCCTCTGCTGTGAGGACAGGCTGGAGGGGTTAGGGGGGTTCAGCCTGGAGAAGAGAAGGCTCCGGGGAGACCTTAGAGCCCTTTAGGGGCTCCGGAAAGCTGGGGAGAGACTCTTGATCAGGGAGGGGAGCCATAGGATGAGGGAGAATGGTTTTAAGCTGAAAGAGGGGAGATTCAGAGTAGATGTTAGGAAGAAATTCTTGACTTTGAGGGTGGAGAGATCCTGGCCCAGGTTTCCCAGAGAAGCTGTGGCCGCCCCACCCCTGGAGGGGTTCAATGCCAGGCTGGATGGGGCTTGGAGCAACCTGGTCTAGCGGGGGTGGGACTGGATGGTCTTTAAGGTCCCTTCCAACCTAAACTATTCCATGGTTCAAAGCGTTCAAGGAAGGATAGAAACAAGGAAGGAAGGCAGAAAGATGAATGGAAGGAAGGAAGGTAGGAAGAAAGGAAGAACAGATCAAGAGCTGGCCTGGCTCAGTTCTTACTGCTGTTGAGGGCATCCTTCCCAGCCCTGGAGTCACAGCTGGGCTGGGGTTACAGCTTGTTGCAGGCAGGTTTGTTGCCTCCAAAAACACCTGCGGATGCCCCATAACTTGTCCGTGGGATCGGCTGGGTGGGAGCTGTGGGCAACTGGGCCTGAGGATGGCAGGCAGCAGCCAGCACCTGGGGACAGCA